ACCCAAGTGCTTGTTAGGGATTTTTTATTGTGTTAATGATCACATTCACTTAACTGTATATTATGCATCAGTATACATAAATAATGGCTATGAATTTGGACAAATATTTCTAGTATAAATGCTCACTGACTTATCAATAAGACTTATTAACACTCAAATTCAATCACGAAAGAAACCGATTATGTTACTGAGTATTCTCAACTATGATTCAAGGATACAATAGAGGAAGAACTATTTCAACTCCAGTAACTATTAATTAAAAATGGCTGGTCACACAGACACATTGATGAAATCAAGATATCAAAACAAAAACTTGTAAAATGACAAGCTGTACAAAGAAAAAGTTTTCATAAATATTAAATTTAATATAAATACGTCTTCCGGAGTGTTTATGACAAATTAATCTAAAAATCTCGGAGAAAAGCTGTTCATTCAGCTAGACTTTGTATGCTCTTCTCTGAAACGCCTACCACTGATGAATATGTCAAGGATAAAATTTCACGTTGGACTATATTTGTGTGTATCTGTAAATTTACTCTTGGTGAGTAAGTTACATTGACCACAAAAAGTGAACGCTTTTCAAACTCATCATAGCACATAACTCAGATTAGCGTTTAAAAGGAGAATAACCAACATCTCATTGGAAGAACATTTTATCAACTCTAGATGCGTTTATCCATCACAGTCTTCTTTGATAATAATGTACATAGTTGAGTGTGTGGTGATAAAAAGAGGTTGAGGCATCAACCTGTGTGCTACTTAAACTTTGTCGATTCATCTGTTTAAGTCTGAACACTAAATACTAGAGTAACACATTCATTTTTTCGTTCTTTCATTGACTTTCAGTCAGTCTTTTTTGTTTATTATTATTATTATATTTTTGGTTAGTAACCATTTATTGTTACTCCTTATTAGTTTTCATAATTATTATTCACTTTTCTCTAATACCCCAATGTTTTTCATTTCTTAGTTATATCTGTCAAATGAACGATTGCTTCTCATTCTTGTTTGAACTAAATAAATTTTTCAACCATATTATGTTTTTGGGAGGCCCGTTGTTTTGTCGTCGTTAAGGTCGGACGATGTTCGTTGAAGGGATCACCATTTTGGTGGCCCTTGGATCTGACTCCTATTTGATCGTACGAATGATTGTTATCGCCTTTTCTCGTATATCATCGTCGACTTAAATCACGTTAGTCAATAACGGAATTTAGATAAGTCAATTAACGAGAATGGCCTTTGAATACATGTATTTTGTATGTAAAGTGAATGTAATAGAACAGAGTAAAATGACGCGCAGGGAAGCCCATTCCATTTCAAGCCAGGCATTACTCAATATTCATAGGCAGACAAAATAAACAACAGACATGTGATGAGTCATGGGACATGAAGTGTACACACATATACGCTCATATAAAAACAGTCTAGATTGATAAGCGAATAAATAACAAGGTCAAAGTACGGCTCGAGTAGGGTGAATAAAATGGGATGGCCGAAAGTTAGAATAAGGTATATGGGCTTGCCATAATAACTGACACTACAGTTTCTTCAATCTTCTTTATAGATCATTAATAATGTCACTCACTATAGATACATGAAATTTCTAAACATTTCATTATATAATCTCTTATTTATTCTTTTCAATGGACTCATCTATTTTTTTTGGGGGGGGGTGAGGTTGTAAAAATCACTATAAATAAGAAAGTTTTTATTGAAAAAGAATAGTTTCCTAGGTAAATTAACTTTATTCTTTATTGAATGAATTCAATAAAATTGATTATGTGTAACGTTTGTCTTTTGAAAAAAAAGGTAAATATTAATCTTTAGATTAATATTCAATATTTTTAACATTTTCATTGTCAATAATGATTCATAAAGATGAATATGGTATATCTTAGTTTCCAATGGGATTTTAGTTTTTTTTTTCTAGAGAAAAATCCCCTCTCAGGTTTTTTTGTCAACTATTTTAGAGGAACAGAATAGTCTACTTAATTTATCGGAAAAATAATATTTTTTTTCAAAAAAGTGATTTAATGTTTATTCAATTGATCATTTGAGAAGTTTGTTTCTATGACAAAGTTATTTAAAATGTTTAAAATTTATAAATGGACAAAAAAGACAGCAATAAACAAATAACAGTGTCAATGATGTAATCAATAATCATGACCAAACAATTCAGAAATAATGGTAAGATTATAATTTATGGAGGTTTGTATTATTTCTTTTTGGTTAGCGTCTTTTTAGCAAGTTAGTTGGATTAGTTAACCCTATGCTCAACCCTCCTCTTTTACCTGTGCTTGAAAACGGCTGTAACTCTGGAAGAGCTACAGGTGAATTGGCAAAGCAAAAGTCGCATTCCTATAATTGAAGAACATATGGAATTCAAAATAATTGTCAACCAATATCAGTATCAAAATCTTTAATACGAATGGCAAGACAGTTCTACTGTATGGAGCTGAAACTTGGAGAACTATTACAACCATCATCAAGAAAGTACGAATATTTATCAATAGTTGTTTATGCAAGTTATTCAACATCCATTGGTTGGATACCATCAGAAACAGTCTACTGTGGAATAGAACAAGCCAGCTTCCAGCTGAAGAGGAAATCAGGAAAAGACGATGAAAGTGGATAAAACATACATTAAGCGAATCGTAAAACTGAATCACGAGGCAAGCCCTAACTTGGAATCGTGAAGAGAAGAGGAAAATTGGAAGGCCAAAGAACACATTACGTCAGGAAATAGAAGCAGATATGAAAAGGATGAATAACAACGTGAAAGAGCTGGAAGTGTTTGCCCAGGACAGGATTGGATGACTAGTGCTAGTGAATGGCCTATGCTCCTTCACGAGGAGTAACGGGCGTAAGTAAGTAAGTATCTTCAATGTAGTATATCTAAGTAATGTTAGTATTACAAATGAAATAAATAAAAAGTTAATAATATTACAATATCCCTTTTCACTTTATAATCAATATTTTTTTATTAACGTAGTAGATAAATAAAAAATCAGTTGGAACTTATTCAACACATTTGACTAAGTTTTTTTGCATTAAACGTTAGCTGTGGAGATTGTTGTGTTTTGTTGAAATCATCAACTTATCTCACTTAGACTTTTATAATGATTAAAGTTCGATTGTTTAAAATCAAACTACCATCTAAGTAATACTGATCATCATGCACAGCTCATTTTGGTGATTAAAGGAATATCACCAATTAAATACTAGTATCATTACGACAATTGTGTTGGTTACCGAAGACATAAAGAGCTGTGTTAATTTTTAAACTTTCTTCTCTGTTTGATTTGTAATAGTTAGACTTAATTTTCGTTGAGCGTTAGTACTTATTTTACTTTTTTTCTGGTTAGCGTTTCTTAGCGAGTAAACTTTCTACGGGATCGGGTCGCTAACCCTATGCCTAAACTTCGTCCTTTATCCGGGCTTGGGACCAGCAGCAGCCCCAGAGGGGCTCCAGGTGGGGTTCTATGCGTTAATCACGAAGTCAATACTTAAATATTTGTTTGATTCGGTGTTGAAATTTACATTTATGACTGTTAATCCATTTTGTTCTTTCTAATCTGTTCTTAAAACCTTAGATAAAAACATTACCTTATGTTATGTAAGACCATAGATGATATCGATTAAGTTAATAACGTATAAATTAAGCACGCCATAACGATGGTTGTAGATAAAGATTTGTATTCCTAATGTTAAATGTTAACTAATACCTTATTAGATACAAGCCATTCGTCTCATTTACAATGACTCTCTTCTTTCCTAGTATTAAAAAGGTATGATTACCCTATAATATATTCAAACGAAGCATAATAGTAAGATATTGGTAACTTCATATTTAACCAACTCCTTACGTAATATGAAAATACATAGGATAAACCTAAACATTTATTTTAATAGTTGTGATCATGAGTCAATTGAAGCTAGATAACAATGGAAGACCTAGAGACACTGGATGGCTGTTTCGTCCTACTGTGTGACTCCTCATCAGTGCTCATCCACGACCCTGCCTCGCGGGATTCGAACCTAGGACCTATCAGGGCCTAACCTCTAGACCATTTAGCCGCCATCCGACAGTATTATTGTCTAACTTCAACTAAACCACGAAACGGCCGTCCAATGCTTCCTGGTTTTCCATGGTGATCTAGCTTCAATTGACTCATGATTTCAACTATTAAAATTACTAGGATATCTACAAAACCCCTTCTGATAATAAACATATCTGTTTAGGGTTATTGATAATAGCCTAATAATTACTGATATAAAAAAGTCGTTAAATTTTTAAATTGAGTTTCAATCATTCAAGTACAATGGTTCTAGACTATTTTTAACAATAAAAATTAGTTTTAAGTAAATTAATTTCATATATCACTAACTTATCTACTATAGTCATTAAATGAGTATTATTTTCTTCATTTTTTCTGTACAACTTCATTAAAACAAACTTAAAACATTCAATAATGACATTATCTTACATAATTAATTACTTATATAATACAAACTACTCAAATAAACCTATACAATTGATATACATTCTATTATATAATATTTTCAATAGTAACCATAAACCACAAAATGTAAATGATTACAATTAATCGATATTTTCAAATAAAAAGAATATATATACTTCACAATAATCAATAAATAAATGACCAGTGGAGCTAATCCGTGTCGGGTAGGAACAGGTGTCTACCTCAGTACAATGTAAGATGGTTGGTTGAGGTTAGACATTAATACCAATGGATGCCAGCTCAGTGATTCAATAGGTTGAGCGTTCGCACGCGAGACTGAAGGCCCTGGGTTCGAATCCCGCGAGCGGGATCGTGGATGCGCACTGCCGAGGAGTTCCACAATCGGATGAAACGGTCGTCTAGTGCTTCCACGTTTTCAATGGGGGCCTAACATCAATTGGTTCATGATCTCAATAAAAAAAAGTTAATTAAACTAAAATAAACTCATATATTATTATTAATTAATTACAGACTTACTTAATTGTTTTTATTAAAGAAATTGATTGTAAAATTCCTTAGTAACAAATTTAGAACATTTTTGAAATATTATAATATTTCATTGAGTCTCTTTATTCAATATTGTCAATGAATAAGAATAATGTATCATTTGTAATAAACAGCCAGCAACAACAATAACAATAAAATAATATTTCAACTAAATTAATTACTTCATTTGTTTCTATGAAGAAAGTTTTCTATTATTGAGAAAATGATCTCATGTAATGTTCTAAAGAAGAAAAAAAAGATTTTTTTTTCCTTTTAAATATCAACAGACATGTTTTCTTTATAAAGAAAACAAAACAAAGTGTATTCAAATTTGATTGGTTCATTCTTGCTAAATTGCCTAGGAATTATTCTCTCTGCTAGTTGATTGGTCAATAAATTATTTTTTTTTTAAATAGATATTGAATATAAGAATAAATAAACAATCATATTGTGTAATTAATTGAATAATTTTCTATATTTATTTATTACATATAAAATATTTGAAAGAATAACTTATTGGTTTATTACACTAGTAAGATAAGAATAAGAACATTTCCGGTGAGAAGTGAATAACAGAATTAATCGGTAGTATAGGGTTTGTGGAGATTATTAAGTTTTTGATTGAGATCATGAACCGATTGATGTTAGACCACCATTGGAAACCAATGATGATAGTGTCTAACCATCATCACCAATGGATGCCGGCTCGGTGGTCCAGTAGGTTAAGCGTTCGCGCGCGAGACCGAAGGACCTGGGTTCGAATCTCACGAGTGGGATCATGGATGTGCACCACTGAGGAGTCCCACAATAGACGAAACGACCGTCCAGTCCTTAAAGGTTTCCATAATTGATTTGACATCAATCGTTTCATGATCTCAATCAAGAATCAATTGACTTTACATCTTGTTTATAATATATATATATATATATATATATATTATATATATATATAGTGGTGTCAGAATCTATTCGAAAACATTAAAATATTATATCATCTCAGTTAGAAGAAAGATAATTCCAGTTATAATTTCAATAAGTATTTATACTTGTTCTTTATGTCTTTTTTTCATATTACATTTCAAAAGCTGAGACATAAGGATAATATAAACTTTATTACTTACCTGTGTTTCATTTTTTCTTCAGACTTAATCGTCAGCATAAGTAGTTGTTTCATGGATAGTCATCTATTAATTTGACTTGAAAATTATTTTATGTTATGGTTACGGACTTTCAAATGATCCATTATTTTTATTGATTACTCAGCTGAAGTCAGTCCATGACAGGAATTACAATCAACAGTTAGAGAACTCTACACAAATCTACTGACTAAATGATCATATTAATTCTATAAATTATATTTATCTTATTTTAATTAAGGATAAAAGAATATATGCGAGCGATGGCGATTGTTTGTCAACCGTGCTAACAATACCTTGAGATAGTTTTACGAAAACTTTTACACACCATGTCCCTGTCAAGTCTACGTATCAAGAATAGCTGATCACCTTTAAAGCTTTAAGTAACTTGAGGTTTTATTTATTTGTTAAACTTTCCTTTAAAAATCCGATCATATTCAGACAAAATATATGAACGACGAATATTGTTTACAATACATTCTCTTTAGGTTCTACAGCTATATATCCAAATTAACAATCCAATAAATGGGCAGGTTTAGGGCAAAGTACATCGTTCAGAATTATAGCATGCGAATTCGGGATCGTTTGTGATATAAAATAAAATAAAATTGTTAATGCTGAGACGACTAATAAGGTTGTACAAACATTAATCGAAACGATTTACCATATCATTAAATCATCATGAAATAATTAGTTAATCAATTTAAAAAGAGTGGTGAACAGATTTCTTCTGGATGTAGAGCTCTGGCTTATTGATCCGAATAGCCACTGCCTCAGCCGTCTGAAGGATTCTTGATCTGACGAATTTAGGCAGATTGCTGCTAACACGATATAAATTACTGTAAATTATTGTTCTACGCTGACTTTACGGCCCATTGTACTAAGTGAGCTGAATTCAAACTGTTAACAGTTTGAACTATACCTTTGCTTAACCACATCGGGAAGTGCCTGCGAACACGAAAATACAAGTTCCTAAAACACCTATCAATATAATTTGGTCTGCCAGGACGGTTAAATCGATAGGTACAGAAAGAGGTAGCTAGTTTAGGTCATTTGTTTCTCAATCTCAGTGACCATCGGATGTGTAGAAAACGCTAATTGTAGTTTACTTGTTATAAAGATTCTTTGGATTGTTTTACGCAACTTTAGTATTAGTATTTTGTTGGGTGCATCGCCTCTGCATTGTAAGCCTGTATACCGAGGCTTTTTGCTCAGAGTTAGGCCTTCTTTATACTCTCTTTACATGGCTAAATATTTATTCATAAATTTCTCTGGATAACCAGTACTCAGTAGTATCCGCTTCAATTTCTACTAAATTCCAGTACCCTACATTTTTAGTCAGCATTCTCAAACAAGAACCCAAAAGATCAATTAGGAAGATACATTCAGATAGAGAAATTTCAAATTGATTAGAGAAACCATTCACATCGGATAAGTACTACATTTACCCCCTCCAATTTTAAAAATTAATTTTAATTACAAATTTGAAAAAAAAAACAAATTTCTTGGATTTAGGAATGTCAACCACTGGTCGCTAAGTTTGCGGTGTGAAGAAGAAGTACATGGATTTAGTTTTGAATACTCTGGGCTGCACACCTTGTAAAACCATGGTTGCACATTACAGAGGTTACAACCAAAGAGAAAAGAATTATTCAGTACTTCTCGGTCTTCACTAATTATCTAACAAATGTTATTCCTTGATATTAACTATAACGTTCAATAATCTTCACAACTTTTCTTTACAAACAAAAATAATAACCATTTTTGAAATTCCACTTAAAATGCTAACGTCGATATGTTGTTTGACATTATTTACCATCTAATAATTATTATTTACAGTGTTTATCAAAGAAAAAAACAAACAAATAAATTAGTGAAAATGGCTGAATTTGAAGGTAAATGCCCTTTCATCTTGACAATTTCATAAAACTCTGGATACTTTTTTACATAATATAGATCACTTGAAGCTTCAAATTTATAACAATGAACTTGTCTGTAAGTCGGATAACATCAGTAACAACCTACTGTGAGAGAGAACAAACCAGCTTCCAGATGAAGAGTGAATTAGGAAAAGACGATGGAAGTAGATAAGACATGCATTGCGGAAATCACTAAACTGCATCACGAGGCAACTTCTAACCAGGAATCCTGAAGGCAAACAGAAAAGAGGAAGATCAAAGAACACACTCTAACGAGAATTGGAAGCAGATTTGAAAAGAATGAACAGTAACTGAAAAGGTCTGGAAAGGATTGTCCAGGACAGAGTTGGAAGAAGAATGCTAGTGGGCGACCGATGATTCATCACGAAAGTTAACAGGTGTAAGTAACTAACCAAATTCTTATTTCTCATTTTGGTTTATGTTATTTACATTTTATTGATTGAAATCGATAAAATAGGGTGTGATTCCACTTAAATGATAATCAGATATCAATAAATAGTTTAAGTATGTTGTTTGTTTGTTTTTTGTTTTTTAAAGATGATTAAACATATATCCATATTGAACTGTATATATTTAAAGGGAATAATAATCTGGTTTCAATGAACTTCCATTTATTATTGATTTATACAAACATGATATGACGTTTTGAAGTCAATAAACTATTGAATATTCTTTTATTTGACATGGAAATCTTTTATTTTATTTTAGTCTCATTTTTGTTTTCTTCAAATTGACATTCATAATAAAATAAAAAATGTAGATAGATATATAAATAGTAACAATAATATAAGCAAAGATGGATAATGGCTAGCAGTGGAATCCAGGACGCGCGTATCGTCCGGTTTTGAGATTCGTCAGCTGGATGTACCTGGATCTCAGAGTTGATGTTCACTCCGGGATTCGAACTCAGTACAGTTCGCTTCAAACGCCATTGCGTTATCTACTTAGCTACTGAGTCCTGATAGCCACTTGCTTGTGTAATGGGGTGAAGCTTAATTCACTTGGTATTGTTTTACTTGAATCTTCCCATCGATGTTTTTAAGACTGAAATCGATCAGTCTCTTATCGGCATATATGCATACTGTGCGTATGACTCGATATTGCCTTAATTTACAGGCATTATAAGCAAAGATGGATATTGGCTAGCAGTGGAATCCAGGATGCGCGCTTCGTCCTGTCAAATTGGGATTAAAAATTCATTTAGCTAAAATTAGTTTATTATTATATATTTTAGCGGTCCGAGATTTAATTCGAAGGAGATCGTAATGAATGATTGTTATTAAAATATATATGTCGCCTATCCTCATATATAATCATCGACTTAAATCACATTAGTCAATAACAGAATTAAATAAGTCAAATAACGAGAATAAACTTTTGAATACATATTTTGTATATGAAGCGAATAGAATGGAGAGAAGCAAAACGGCGTGCAGTGGAGATGGCAGGTAAGCCAACTTCATTTAGTCACACAAAAATCAGTTACAGAAATGTGATGAATAGAATAAGAATGTCACACACCTATGTGCTCATATAAAAACAGTGAAGTTTGATAAGCGAATAATTAACAAGGTCGAAATAAGACTTAAATAGAATGAATAGAATGGGCTATCCGAAAGCTAGAATAAAGTACATGGGCTTAAAATAATAACCGACACCACAATATTATGGATAAAATATTATATAATGAATTGTGTAAATGTGTCAGTTATATGTCAATTCCTTGGATGGATAATTTAGGAATCTTTAGAGGTCCAGGATCTAATTCCAATGAGATCGTTTCTGATTACTATTAAGATATACATATCTTCAATCCTCGTATATAAATATCAAATTAAATCGCGTTAGTGAATAACAGAATTAAGTAAGTCAAATACGAGTATGGATTTTCCAATACATATATATTTTGAACAATTGTTTATCGGAACAGATAATCAGAGAGAGGTAGCAATCATGATGAAGAGACAGCGAATTGACGCGTAGTGGAGAAAGTATGTTAGCCAACTCGATTTAATCAAGTGTTATTCGATATTTATAGCCGAACAGATATGTGGTAAGTAGGATAAGATGTACACACATGTACATTCATAAAAAAACAGTCAAGGTTGATGAATGAATGATTAACAAGTTCAAAAGGTGACTCAAGAAGAACGGATAAATTGGCTTGTGCAGAAGCTAGAATAAGCTATAGGGGCTTAACACAGTAAGCGACACTACAAACCATTGAAATAATTCAGTATTTGTTACTATTTCGATATATTGCAAAAAGAACAATAAAACTATGTGTGATAGTAATCAGTGACTACTACTGAGTTTCTGACAAATTTCAGGAGAAACAATGAATTTTCAGTTTATGACTTGTCATGATTATATTTCATGTTGTCATGTTTTTAAATGAGTAAAAAAGATAATAAGAGTTAAACATTCAAATAACCAATCAATAAATTATTTCTCTTAGATTGTTGATCAAATTTCAATGGAATAGTTTGTCCAATGAACTTGGTTTAAATCAATTGTCCCATTGAACCTGATGTTAGTAAATAAAAACTGAATTAAAAATTGATTGAAATGGGGTCTGAATCAAATAATAAGGTAGAAGATGAACTTGTTTTGTTGTGTTAAGTCATTTATATCACATCATAATGTAGATAAAAATCAGTAAATCCCATCAAGTTTATTGAGCACGTGTCGATTGATAAATAAAATTCAATTTTCAGTATAGGGTTGTGGAGATTGTTGAGTTTAGATTAATATCGTGAACGGATTAATACTAGACCACTGTTGAGGGCCGTTTCGTCCTATTATGGGACTCCTTAGTTGTGCGCATCCATGATCCAGCATTCGCGCGTGAATTAAATCACATCCTATCTTCAACATGCACTTACTCCTGTTACCCCTAAATGGTGAAGCATAGTCCGCCCACCAGCATTCTTTATCGAACTGTGTCCTGGGTAATCCTTTCCAGGTGCTGTTCATTCTTTCCATATCCATTTCCAATTTTCAATGTAGTTTGTCATATAGTCTTTTTTCTTTTTTGTTTCCCTTCATCATTCCAAAGATTGAAACACAGGGTTTATTTATTTTAACTTATCAATAAAATTCTCCATTATATTTAATTGTTTGGGAAAAATATATTACTAATACTACTAACTACTTTCTCATCGTATTTACTATTTAGATTATAATTTGATTCAAATTGTTTACCACATCCATTGTAACATAAAATCATTTGAAAAGTTAAAATCAGTCAATGAGTTGGTTATTTTCAGAAGGGAGTTTTGTGTAGATTTCCGTAATTTAACAGTTGCATTCATTAGTCAATTAAAGCTGAAGTTAGACATTAACACAATTGGATGCCGGCTCAGTGGTGTAGAGGTTGAGCATTCTCACTCAAAACCGACATGTTTTGGGTTCGAATCCCGCGGAAAAGATCATGAATGCTCACCAATGAATCCCATACTAAAACGAAGCATTCAGATTTTTCATGGTTGTCTAGCTTTATTGGAATTATGAATTCAACTATTAATTAGTTATTTATTAAAACATATTCTTTCTATTCATGTTGTACATAAATTTGATTATTCCATCAAAATTGTAATTAATTGTTGAAAATGAACTCTTTGTATTTAATTAAATTTGTTTTGTTTATCTTAAATGAACAGATTTGCATGTTAAACGTCTCTTAAACGATAATCACAACCACAATACAAATAATAATAAACGAATATCGTATTGTTTACAATGTATTTGTACTATTAAGTTAATTAATCAAAGGTAAAACTCCACCTGGAGTCCCTCCGGCGGCTTCTGCCGGTCCCGAGCCCAGATAAAAAAGTAGGGTTAGACATGGGGTTAGCGACCCCATCCCATAGAAAACTAACTCGCTAAAAAAACGCTAACCAGAAAATCGAAAGGGAAATATGTGTACTTTAAATGATAATTTAAAAAAATTACAATTATCTTGGTAATAAATTAATTAGACTTGATAATGATTTGAAAAACTTTTATTGTATAAAATCTTTTCCTACTTATCACTTTAATCATAATTACATCAATATTGATAAATTTTTCAATGAAAAACCTACTTACTCAAATTTAAATTATTTGCATATTGGTAAAGGGTAGTTCTAGAAACGGTACATAGTTAAGATAATGAATCAATTGAAGCTAGATCACCATGGAAAACCTACAAGCACTTGACGGCCGTTTTACCCTAGTGTGGTACTGCTTAACAGTGTGCATCCACGCTCCCACCTTGCGAGATTCGAACCCCAGAATTATCAATTTCGCGCGCGACCGTTTAACCTCTAGACCACTGAGCCGGCAGCTAGCGGTGTTAACTAATAATATATAATATCCACAAAACCCCGTCTGTCATTAAAAAGATATATTGTTTGAGGAAAAGTTTCGAAATACAAGTTGAGATATTGTACCGATATGGAAGGGAAAACAGTAAAGATAGGTGAAAAAAATATTAGATAAGATCGGGATAAATGTACTAGAATCTTCAGGTCTTATGGTCAGTACTTTTCATCAGATGGTTTACATTTTCAACTTTTGATCAATTCTACGTATTGGATAACTGTCATTCAGTATTATGTTCCCCTTCCGAAATGGTTGGACTTTACTGGTCATAGTTACTAACTAGAATTCCAGGAAATATCTCCTGAAAGTAGCTACTAGTAAGCATGTGATCAATTGTAGTGTAGAACGCGATTGGGATTGGTGAATTTTCTATTTTACACTACAGATTAAGAATAATGATTGAATAATTTGGAGAATAAATTGAATGTAGAAACGTAGAGCAATGGATGTCAACTGATAGGTATAAAGGTTAAGCTCACTGAATGAGAATTGAAGAACCCAGCTTCGGTCGCTCTGGTTCACTTGAATACACATTACTGAGTAGTTCAATATCAGTGTGAATTAATTGTCCGATGCTTTGTGGTTTGCAACGGCTATAAAACTATGCTCAATTCATGATTTAAACTATAAAATGTGCTTTAGATAGACGATGATTCATGAGATGGTGGAAAATATTTATAGCTCAGGTAGATGATTCTGATGAAGTTTTGTTCTCTGATCTTTTATCGTTCTTCTGAACGACATCATCAACATAAACTTCAGGTTGAAGTGAAGTGTTCGAATTTCTCCACATATAGCTCACAGTTTGTCCAGTGATGATCCAATAGTTTAATAGGAGGAAATAAACTATATGGTATGGGTACATGAACATGAATTAAATAAGATTAATTTTGTGGAAGATAATCAAGAATATACAGATGCTCATTTAAGTGCCTGCATAATAAAGTTATTGATCAACTGTTCTTTTTTACAAAAATGTTCGATTAAATGGAAAAATGCACCATTGACGATATCTAAAACTGAAAAAAAGCCCAGCAATTGATTGATTTCTTTCGTATTAAATGTCATGACTACATAATGAAATGTGTACTATTGAATAATAATAGAAAAATATACAAAGCCCAATGATAAATACGTAAAATCTGTCATCAGATCACTTTTAAGCTTAGTTTAAAATGTAGTATTACTTTATTTAATCGGGAATGTGCCTTATATTCACCAAAACGTTTTACATGAGTTCATTACTTAATCAAATAACTGTTGAGGAAAATGAAATAATCGAACTACCATCATTTAATTTAAAAGATTTTGAGTATCGGTACGATTGTCAGGTGACTTTCTGACAATATGTAACAGAGAGAGCTAAACAAATTTTATTTAAATAACTAATGAAATAGCGCTTCTCGTATTCTTGAGTACATTTTATTAACCCACATAGATACAGAGCATTGTCACATCATAAATGATGTTAGTTCGTGATGAAGACTCTAACTCCGAATCCCTAATAATACTTAAGTGTAACTAGGATCTATATGGAGGGGGGGAGATTAAAAATTTATTTTTATCTTTAATAGGATTTAAGAAGATGTTCAGTTTATATCAATAATGGTGAATTTGTGTCTTTGTTTCTTTGGATGACAAGGAGGGTAACCTGTTGAAGACTTTAATGTATATTTATATGAAATCTATTTATACCTTGCAAAAATGATTGTTTTCTTATCTATACACTATTGATCCATCAAAACTATTATAGTACTAACTAAATATTAGCTGAAAACTTGTTGCGGTTATTTTAATCTCATCTCTGCACTTATGTTAATACAAACAGTAAATCATTTTCATCAGTGATACATAGATTTTGTTAAAATTATACATACTGTTTGTTAGATTATATAATAATGATAAAAGTAAGAAGAATAAAGTTGTCTATATCAATCTTCAATATAAATTATTTACAAATCAATGTTTTAAATATACATGCTCCATCAGAAGTAATAAGCATACGTAAGTAAGTAAGGAAGTTGGTAAGTAAATAAGTAAGTATGTAAGTAAGTAAGCAAGTTAGTAATAAGTGAGTAAGTAAGTAAGCAAGTAGGCAAGTAAGTAAGCAAGTCAGTAGGTAGGTAAGTAAATATACAAAACTTTAATATTTTATTTGAAATGACCTTGAATTTCAATAAAAAACTATCCATTGTTTCCCTCGTTTTTTTCTTCTTCTTTAAAACTAACTTTTGGCGTATATCAATTTTAAAGTGAACTTCTTTTGACTAACAACGAGAAGAAAATTATTCCCATTTAAATAAATCAATTCTCATGTCCATCAAATTGAAGATTGATTTGATATTTTATGAAAATGAAGAATTGAAAGTTTATTCTTTTTTTGATTTATATATATATACAAATAAATTTTCGAATAACTTTTAAATGTCCTTAAATTGCTTGATTGATATGTGTTATAGAAGATGTCGGCTACACTATAGATCGTGTATACACATAAACATACGGAAATGAATTGAAATTTTTGAAATAAGTCATTATAATAAGTCATTATAATTTTGGCTTCAATGTTACCTTTTTGATCATAGTAATATTTAATAGTAAAGTTCATCAGTTAATTGAAGCTAGGCAACCAGGGGAAACCTGTAAGTACTGGACGACTGTTTCGTCCTAATGTGAGATTTCTCAGCAGTGTGCATCCATGATCCTGCCCCGTGGGATTCGAACAGAAGATCCATTGGTCTTGGTGGAGTTTTGTCTCTGAGCTGGATGGTTTGGTCGTGGAGCTTTCATCGTTCTTCTGAACGACATCATCAGCACAAACCTCAGATAGAAGTGAAGTGTTTGAATTTCTCCATATGTGTCGCAAAGCTTGTTCTGTGCACCTCGACGTTGATTGGTTCTTATTGACCTTAAATAATAAACAATAAACAACGACAAATTTAACCTCTTGACCACCGAGCAGGAATATAACGTTTCAATTGATTCATGAATTCAATTATTAAATTACTATAATATACCCTTTCTCATAATAATATTGTTTCGAATTTTAAATGGTATTCAGTGTTTGTAAAATGTTAAATGCATGTTTCGTTTACAATCGGTGAATACTACAATGATTCGTCATGTGAACTTGTACTATTAAAATATTTTTATAGATTATATCATGGACTAATATTAGTTAACCTCGAAACAAGTGAGTTAAAATCCAACGATTTATATTTTCATCATCAGCCAGTCCGCGATACTGAGTCGCAATCTATAAATGCCTAAGGTGGATAAACTTTTCACAGTCGAAACGATTTCAGTTACATTGATCAAGGTATCTTACTCGAACGTCTGTGATTGTCTCTCAAAGTTAGTTACGAATGAGCATATGGTTATCAATAATATATAAGGTTTATGAAGATTATTAAATTTTTATAGACTTCATCGTGAGCTGATCGTAATTAGATGACCATTGAAAACTTCGAAGCATTTTTCATTTTAATATGAAACTCCTCAACAATAGAGTTCAGTCACGTTGATTGTGAGACAGTTACCCACAACAAGCTAAAAATGACGGTCGTCCAATATTGCAAATTTCTGTATACCATTGAACTTTGGTAAAGCGGTCTAGAAGTTAATCGCCAGTAGGGTAGTAGATAAGTATAACTAAGGAGTTCCATACGAAATCGAAACAGTTATTCAGTATTTCCTAGTTTCCAGTTCGTGGTCTAATCGATGAGAAGTCAACGATCTTCGCAAACTCTCTATACTGGTGTGAATAATCTGGAAAATATTTAGTTATTTAAATATTATTATCAGAAAGCTTCAACTAGCGTTCCTTCCATAATTTGGTTCATAGAATCATACTACGGAAATTAC